TATATATATATATATATATATATATATATATATATATATATATATATATATATATATATATATATATATATATATATATATATATATATATATATATGTATGTATGTATGTATATATATGTATATGTATATATGTGTATGTATGTATATATATAGATGTGTGTATATATATGTGTGTGTGTGTGTGTGTGTGTATATCCATTCAAAATCTGGAACTTGCACATATACAATTGTAGAAGTGTTCCAAATACCCTCTAAGACCTCATTAGGATGCTAGAGATATTAGAAGTACATTGATACTTCATAACTTTTTTAGCTCAAACAAATGAATGTTAATTATAATTCAAAGTGGTTAACATGGGCATTGGGTAGATGTTGACAGTAGTGATATATGTGAAGATCTTAATACTTGAGTGGATATATGTGTTGTATTAAAAATTATGAAGGCAAATATGCTATTTCCAAAATTTGCAAGGATATATGTTTGTAAAAGCTCTACATATAAAATTTACCAAGACCATAAACATCAAAGTTGCAGCTTCATGATGAGATACATGGGGCCAATGATGGTGACAGGGTGTTGCAACACAAGTACACAAGTCTCCCATGGTGCACCTTGAAGGAAGCTTCTTGGATGCCATGCTCCAAGAAGAAACAAGACAGAAGGGTTGGTAGGATTTTACACTGAACAACGAGTCCAGAGAAAAAAAAAATGTGCTACCACTATAAACATGATTAGGTCATTAAAAATCTGCATAAATAAATAGGCTTTACAGGTTGAGCATTCCTTCAGTAGGTAAGCATGATAAGATCACCACCAGAATTATTAGCATCCTTTAAGTTTGAACTACTACTTGACTTTTCTAGTTTTAAGTACAACTTAGCTTTATTTGCATGTGAAGCAAACTAACACCACAAACATATATATGCATATCAAACATATGAAAGCCCTAAAACATGATGTCTCTCCTACCTATAAACCATGCTTGTACATGATTAAACCTCCATATAACACTCAATAAAAAATATATCATGTGAGTTTGCATGACTTGATGTTTTAACTCATAATCTGCAGATTTCATCTTTTAAAAGACAAGATTGAGATCAGATCAAATCTTATTATCAAGAAAATACATGATGGAAACCCTAGTTCAGTTATACGTTGGTTCACTTCTCTAGCTAGATAATATAGATCCAATTGTACACTGTTAATCTAGACACTCCTGTGTAACAACCATGAATAGAAACTCATTCTTCAAGTTAATGTTGTATGGAAATCCTGTGTTTCTTCAGATGATCAGATCATTCTCTTTCTTTATACCAACACCCCAACCAACTATGTGAATGCAAGCACATCGAACATAAGCTGAAGTGATTGATGTTACAAGTCACAGATCAATGTCCTCCACATGTCCTATTCCAATTTAAGTATTCATCTTTAGTTAAAAGTAACTTCATCATGTACATCCAGCAATAAATTGTTTTTGACAAACTGTAACAATTAGCTGGTTTTCATTGACACTAGTTTTCTTGTTAGCTAATATGATGCAGCTGGAAATTTCATCAGATTAGGAACAATGCATTTTTGAAGGATTTGACAGAATTCTGATTTAAAGATCAAAAGGCTCTCTCACAAGATACTGCCATAATTATCCACATCCAAAGGATGGAGAGGAAAATAAAACACTAATACTGCTATATCTACATTCAAAGAGTCACGGAGATAAATAAATTAAGCAAAGTCAACATTAACTCATAATATTTTTTAAGTGCTATTTAATAAATTTCTGATAGAAACTCCTCTAGACTAATTTCAGGACTCAATCTGATATTAGATCTAATATCTCTTACCTTTTCTGTAATGCTCTTTGAAATGGCATTTTCTACCCAGGAATGAACTTTTGATCTTCAGGGGAACTTTGTTCCACCAAAAAACTGAAAAGGAAGACCCAGAGATCCGAGTAAGCTTTTTCATTAGTTACCAAACAACTTTTGTTATTAATCTTGGCTTCAAGGTGCTGCACTGCTGCAAATCGCTTGGGTGTTCCAAGACCACCAAAATGAAACGATATAGAAGATTTGATGAACAATAATTGTGTCGTCAATGAAGACGCAAAAGAAGATGAGGGAAGATGATGAAGACAAATTTACTGCAAAATTTGATGTCAACCAGGTAAACTTCTAAAAGATTTCAAAAAAAGAATCCAGCAAGTAATTACATCTATAAAGAAGCAGATGAAGGGGCAAGTATCTCAACCAGTAAGACAGTGGCAGAAAGAACAGCTTCATGTTCCAAACCAGCATTGAAAGATTCTTAAGACAACTCATGACATTACATCAAAACCAGCATTGAAAGATTGTAGCAATATTCATAACTTTTGCAAAGAGGTATTCTTATCAAGGCATGCATATTCCAAAAATATGGTTAGGAGAACAACCTTTTGACTGAACCATTGGCTAATCCAAGGAAAAAATTGACTGTAGTTAACGAGACGATACAGAACCACATTTCTTGCCTGTTCAGAATATTCAGGGTTGTCAGGTAGATTGTTGTTATTGATACTTCAGATTTTAAACAAATAAAATCAGTCAGCATAAAAAAAAAATTCAATGTGTGCTGCAAATTTGTTGACTTCTACACTGCAACAAAATAGAAATCCTGTCCCTGAAAGACAAGAAAATGAAGAATAAATCTCTACCCATGCCTTATCAACCCTTCTTGGATCACACTTCTACCAAAATGCCAACCTTTTATTCCTGCATAGTTTTACGGGTTACCAATTCTACCAAGTAACCATGCACCGGTAAGTTCCAATCTTTATTGTATTATAAAGCTACAAACATTCTGATGCTCTCAATCATAGTCACATGATAAACTCAGATCTTGGGAGCTTTTCCAGATTGCTAGAATATTAAGCTCAGTCCAAATTATTTCGGTCAATTAAGGCTAAGTAAAACACTACATTTCTAATTTGGTGAACCTAAAGGCTCGATCATCAAAACAAAGCTTGAGCTTAGGTGACACAAGCTTTGAATGACTTAGTTTTCTACTATCCCGTCGAACTTGTATGTTTTCGAATTTGTCCTTGAGTTCAAGCTAATAGGATTCTTAAATAAACACAGATTAAACGATCCTCACCCTGCTTCTTCTACAACCCTATTTTAAGGTACTCAATGGTGGCAGATTGTCCAAAATGAACTGTAATATTGGTTGATCTTGATAAAGTAAATTACTGCAATGGTGCATTAATAATATCACAAAACAAATGTTAACAAGTTACTAGCCCTTGCCAAAATAAAGAGAACAATACTGTAGATGGTTTTCGAGATGAGTTCAATATGTATCTAAAACAGAATCTTCTTACGTGGGAACAGAACTCATAAAATTCACATGAATCAGCTTGTATAACCAAACATCATAAGAACCGAAAGCCAATCCAAGGTCTTGGTTGACATGAAAACCATAACCATGTATTGCATAAACTTAAAAGAGTACATATGGCATACACTGTTAGGCAAGTAAGAAAGGAAAAGCAATGACTTTGTTACATATGATCCAGAAATCTATGGGCAAAGGTGTAGTTAGCTAGCAAGCAAGTTGTTAAGGTAAACAAATCTTGAAACAACACACTGTATTGACTGTATTGTATGTATACACACAGAGACACAACAACAACGACACCATGACACAGCTGTAAGAAGCAAAGCAGGCCTGGGCTTGCGAGGATCACCGTATTGGTCAATTAGTGGCGACGCTCGCCGCCGTGTCCGATTGCCACAGAATCCACGCAGAGCGCGACGAGACGTACAGGAGGGCGCCCGACGCGGCCACCATGGACGCAGACGCGACGCGGCGGCAAAGCCTGGCGTATCCGGGGAAGCCGCGGCGGTGCATGATGGCGCTGGCGGCCGCGGAGGCGGAGAGGACGAGGGCGAGGACGAAGGCGTAGAAGGCCGCCGGCTGGTCCCGGAAGAGGACGGAGGGTACGAGGCCACCGCCGGATCCGGGGAGTTCCTCGTAGGGGAGGCGGGTGAGGGATATCCCGGCGAGGATGGCGACCCAGAGGAGGAGGGCTTCGAGTGAGACGCTCGCCATGGCCGATTGATCGGAACGAACCCTTTTGCTTGGTCTCGAAGCTTCTCGACGCCCGGCGTGGCCAGTACTAAAAAGGCAAGAAAGGGGGATAGGACGAGGCGACGGTTCATGATCAGGTTCTGATCAAAAAATCAAAATCCAACGGTCGACGCTTTGGTCCATCAAGAAGAAAATAAAAAGAAATGGTCGGCAGAGACGTTCACTTTTTTAGGTTTGGGATAGGAAGTGTCCAAAAACACACTGATTATTCATAATTTTAAAAGACACAAAAACTTAACTTTTCTATTACTTTTATTGATATTTGGATTTTTTTTTGTTTTAACTTTCACTATCTTGTTTTTTATTACTTATCTCACACGGATTTTTCTCAAGGGATTACACCACCAACATACAAAGCAAAACAATAAAATATCTACAAGTTTTTGTGTGTTACATTGATATATGCTAAAAATAAATTTAGAAGAATAAAATCTTTGTTAAGACATCCAATTAAGTTAGTAAACTGTTATAAGTGATGGGTGAACTTCTTATATGTCATTTAATATAATATTTTTTTAATTTTTTAAGAAAAGAACAAATACAAAAATCACCAAGTTTAGA